GGCTGTGTGGTGTTTGGCTGCCAGACAAGTTGAACTACTACACTTGTACAACATGGTTATTGGTTGTTTGAAACCTTCCAGTGATTTTTTCTGTGTTGTGCTGGACACCTTTGGGCAATTACATGATGATAATTTCACTCAGCTCTGGGTTTCATACCTGTATTGGTTTCATCAATCTTGCTCATCGCCACCGCGGTGGAGTCCCCGTTAATGATGTCCAGGAAGAAGTCGGCAGGGTTGTTGTACGGCTCACACTCATAACCTGTGGTGACAACGTTACAAGCCCTAAGTGATGGTTGGGTGACTGGTAGGAGGCTGTGCGTGGCCACCATGAACACAGCCATGCTGTTGTGCCCAAGGAGCAGCCTGCACCATAAGTGACACAGGCTTCAGAAGGTCCATGCTTCCTCAAGAGATGAAGGGCACTGACAGGCATCTATCTCTAGATGTCTGGCATCTATCTTGTGTTATCAGTGCAAGCAAGGTGACAGCTGGCAACCTGCCCTGCTCAACCCTTGCCTGGGCTTTGTCTAATTCATAGAATCATAGAATGGTTTGGGTTGGAAGGGACCTTAAAGATCATCCAGTTCCAACCCCCCTGCCATCAGCAGGGACACCTTCCACTAGACCAGGTTGCTCAAAGCCTCATCCAACCTGGCCTTGAACACTTCCAGGGAGGGGGCATCCACAACTTCCTTGGGCAACCTGTTCCAGTGTCTGACCACCCTCACAGTGAAGAACTTCTTCCTCATATCTAATCTAAACCTCCCCTCTTTCAGTTTAAACCCATTTCCTCTTGTTTTGTCATTAACTGTCATTAATTACAGATGTGCCCAGAAACACTTAATTAAAGCTCAGCCCTGTCATCCAAATCCACATACTACGGCTCAAGAGGTGAAACATCAAGAGAAACACTCAGCCTCTTAAAAATCCCACGCTGTGTCCAATCCTGACCGAGCACTACTGGTGTTTTATCCAAGTTGGTGCCAACTGAAGATGGTTCTGCAGCTGTGCTCACCGATGGACTGGAAGTACTCGATGGCGTGCTGAGCCGGCCCGTGGTACAGCGTCCTCCCCGCCGCCAGCAGCGTCAGGTTATCGAACAGGCGGAATATGGAGTACCGGGGCTGGTGGATGGAGAAGATGATTGTTTTTCCTTGTTTTGCCATCCTGAATATGAAGGGAAGAATGACAGTGATGTTAGCTTTGCAAGTTGATTCAGCTTTTAGGTCAGAGAAGTTGCAAGTTCAGTTAAGGCTTGGTTAAGTTTGATTAAGTTGGTGTGCCAGAGAGGGGAGGGGGAAGGAAAAAAAAGAAATAAAATATTTAGGTCATATTTACAGTGTCTGTGTGAGAAAGTTCCCTCTTGCTGGGAATGTTGTTGGAGAGGAAGCATAGAAACACAGAATGGTTTGGGTGGGAAGGGACCTTAAAGACCATCCAGTGCCAACCCCCCTGCCAGCAGCAGGGACACCTTCCACTAGCCCAGGTTGCTCAAAGCCTCATCCAACCTGGCCTTTGACACTTCCAGGGAATCCAGAACTTCTCTGGGAAGATTTTGATGCAAACAGAAAGCTCTGGAGAGTTGGGAGTCCTCTTTGCTTGTAGTAAATGCAAAATGATGTAAAATTTGCAAATAGAGGGTGTGTTGTGTTTGTTTTCACAAAAAGAGGCCGGAGATTTTGTGATGGAGAAAGAGCTACCTGTGTTCTAACTACCATCCATAATAAAATCGTTGACCTTACCAGACTGTCCAATAGCTCTTTTTATCATTTTTCTGGTCCAGGCAGATATGAAAATAAATGAAGCTGTCCCTGCCATCCATCGTGGACAAATGGCAGTCCTGGCAGGCACAGACTTTGTGCAAGATGCTTTGTGTGCTGCTGTGAGAAGCTGCTTCGGAGTGAGAGAATTCATACAGGCTTTTTCCAGCCCCCTCTTCAGCACTGCTTTGCTGGTAAGCAATTACATGTCTGATTTCCCTGTTTGCTCATTCTAACTGAAATTTAAGTCAAATAGAACTGAAGTGTAGCAGAGTTGAGTGGTGAAAATGTGTCCTGGTTTTGCTAGGATAGAGTTAATTGTCTTCTTAGATGCTAGAAAGCGCTTGTGTTTTGGTTTCAGGGTGGGATTTGTTATGGGAAGAACGTTGATAAGGTACAAGGACATGGTGTTTGGGGAGTTTGCAAGTGCAAAGGACTGGGAAGGGGGACATGTTGTAACTAGCAAAACCCAGAGCTGGCATTTGGCTGTGCCAGTGGGATATTCCATATCACATCACGTCATGTTCAGTATATTAATGAGGGCTGACTGGAAAGCTGGAGGATTCTCTTAGGAATCGCTCAGGCTTGCTCTTCCAGGATTGTGTTTTCAGGTTCAAGGTTCCTTTTCACTCTTCCAGGATCACTATTGGTGGGTGGTGAGCAACTGTACTGTGCATCACTCATTTGCTATATATATTCATTATTATTACCATTACTATTTTATTTTACTCTAATTATTAAATTGTTCCTACCTCAACCTACAAGTCTCTTTAGCTTTACTCCTCCAATTCTCCCCCCTATTCCCTGGGTGGGGGAGCAGGGAAGAGTGAGGGGGTGCAAGTAGCTGTGTGGTGTTTGGCTGCCAGACAAGTTAAACTACCAGAAAATGGAAAATTGTTACCTTTTCAGTAGCAGCAGGACAGCGTTGGCAGTACTGGCATCGAGTCCTGTAGTTGGCTCATCTAAAAATAAGATGGCAGGATCTGTGATGAGCTCCATCCCGATGTTGGTCCTTTTCCTCTCTCCTCCAGATACCCCACGAGTGAACTGGGTACCAACCTGCCACCAAACAAGGAACGTGTCTAGTAACAAATACTTGAGTGAACAGCGTCCTACCGAGATGGCGGCGTTTGGGAAGAGCTGTAAGAAATGTTGACCCTACTCTCAGGTACAGATGCAGGTGTTACCTCACACATTTCTTAACATCAGTGTGACTTGAGGTGTTCTCTTTTCCTCCAGCCACAGACTACCTTCCCCTCAGTGTAACATCATATGGCAGTATCAGTGCAGGGTCTGTACAGCTCCCCATACAGAAATGTTGTTAATTGTCGTATTACTGAAGGAGTCTATTTAATTTTAATTTTTTTTTTATCTGCCACGCTGAGCCATTTGGTTAATTAAATAAATCACTTAATATTTGTTCAGGTTTTCCATAGAATTGTTTTGGTTGGAAAAGACCTTTAAGATCATCAGGTCCAACCTAAAACCTGACACTGCCAAGTCCACCACTAAACCATGTCCCCAAGCACCCCATCTATATGTCTTTTAAATCCCTCCAGGGATGATGACTCCACCACTTCCTTGGGCAGCCTGTTCCAATGCTTGACAATCCTTTTGGTGAAGACATTTTTCCTAATATCCAACCTAAACCTCCCCCTCACTCCATAGAGTGGTTTTAAGCACCATCTTTATGTGCCTTACCTTGGAATCTGCCACTTGGCTCAAACCCAGTTCCTTGATGATCTGATTCACTCGTTCATTTTTTTCCTGCTCCTTCACGGACTTTGGCAAACGGAGCGCTGCTGAGAACTTCAAATTTTCTCTGACAGTCAGGGTTCCCATTACCACGTCATCCTTCATTGTTTTAAAACAAATTAGTAGTTATTTGATGGTTGCTTAGCAATTTCTGTTTTTTCCTCTGAGAACCACATCTACCTGTGTTTTATACTGTCCTTGTATGCAGAGGGACAGTAGCAACTGCCAGAACGTGTGGTAAGGTGCATTTTCAATACCTGTGTTACAGCAGAGAGTTGATTTCATGCATGTGATTGTATTTGCCCCTTATTCATAACGCAATATAGGAACATCCTCCACCATGCATGATGTCAAAATGCATAAACAGCAATGGATTCCAAGCTATCCCTCATGTATTCTGAACTTACTCAGTTTTTTGGAGGCGTTGAGTGAGATACTGAAGGGACCTAAGGAGCAGCTACAGCTCAGGTGACTATCACTCTGCGTTTGTTCATGCAGCCTCAGTCCACTGTAGGTCAGAGCAGGGAGAAGAGAAGGAAGGAAAAGAGAGGTTGGGTCCATGTGGGGTGGGGTGAAGGTTTTCCAAGCTTGTTTCAGCAAAGGAGGAAGGAGGGTGGGTTTTAGATAGATGTTGAAAGTTCAGAGGGCTGTTCCCCTAAACAGAGAACCAGGAAGGATCCAAAGCATCCTCTTCTGTTGACTGTAGAGCATTAAGGAGAGAGACTCAAACACAAAGCAGAATCTCTTTCCCAGTGAGGGTGGACATATAGAGAGTTGCTACTGCACCAGCCTTGATTCTTGGATCAAGGCAAAGTACTTGCAACACTGCAGCAACTTCTGACAACTCTAGTCAGAAGGGGATGATAAAATCCATGGAGTGATAAAAATTACTCACCTGTACTACGTATCCAGAGGTACATTTAAAGTTGGCAGGCTGAGGAGCTCCATTGATCAAAATGTCACCGGAAAGCCCATGGGGATCCTTCCTTGCAGCCAAAATGTCGAGTAGACTAGGAGAAAAGTTGGTTACTTGGTCAGATGAGTGTGCAGGAGGTGAGTTCTCAGAACCACAAACACGGTTCATGGAACAAACAGCTACATAAAAGCATCCCATGTTAAACATTTGCTGTTTAGAAGACCCCCAGCTAATTTCAAGGGCCGAGTTTCTTTTGTCTTGGTTTCCTAAGGAAATGAGATCTGTGCAATTTCATAGTGCACTTGTGTCCATCTGCTCAATAATATGAGCTTAACCTAGAACGATACAAAGTGTGGACTAAAATTGAATGACATCTTTGTCACTGAAGCTGATTGTCTTTTTGGAATTCAGGTATTTCTCAGAAACCAGTGAGATTTGCACAGACCTGAACGAAAACAAAATCTTTCCTCTAAAGTATTGCCCATTACTGCTAAATATGTGCAGGTTCATTTTCTCCTTGGTGTAATTTCTGTGTTGTAGGGCGAAGAGAGCACTTACGAAGATTTACCACTGCCAGTGGGTCCCAAAATTGCGTTCAGCCCTGGTCTCATGATGCCACTGCAAATCAAAACAGACAGGTTACAAAACAGGTAAGGTGTTTTTCTCTCTTTTACTGTTTTCATCTAGTAGGCTGGTGTAAATTATCTGTGGAACTACCTTCTGCAACCCATTAATTTTGGAATTAATGAAGCTGCCTGTTCACAGACAATATTTGTGATCAAAGTCCACCTTAATTTTTATTCCTAATTCAAGAAGAATTGTCATATTACAAAGACACCACAGAAATGTGAATATCAAATGGAACAAAACCTGGATGCATGCTTTTCCCCCGTGGATCTCTAGAAGCAAAGCACACACTTGCTTTAACCACATTCAGTTCTAAAAGTCTTCTTTTCTCTTAGCAGAGAGAATAATGGGTCCTGGAGACAGACCATACTGGGGATTTCTCTGTACTGCAGCTGATAGTTTCTCTGTATCTGATTTTAAGCCACATGAATTCAAAAGCCAGATAGAAATGGGTTTTAAGTATTTGGGGAAAAGACCCTATAGAAATGGTACAGTCTATGGAAATACTGCTGCCTTTTCCATATGTTTTGGTACCAGGTTTATTTTGAACTGCACTCTGGTAGTGGTTATTACCAGTAATCCAGGTAGCAGTGATCTGAGTACTTGGCTGTGGGTCCAGCCCAGTACAGCTGTTCTTGGGATCTAACCTAGGAGGCTCTTACTCTTCTTGATGCATATTTGTGTCCTTCAGTTTCTTATTGTGGAAATTTATGGTTCCACAGATTATGAAGCATACATATTATACGTATGTTATCATAGAATCATAGAATGGTTTGGGTTAGAAGGGACCTTTCAAGGGACATCTTCAACCAGATCAGGTTGCTCAGAGCCCCGTCCAGCCTGACCTTGAATGTTTCCAGGGATGGGGCTTCTACCACCTCTCTGGGCAACCTGGGCCAGGGTTTCACCACCCTCAGTGTGAAATATTTCTTCCTTACATCTAGTCTGAATCTCCCCTCTTTTAGTTTAAAACCATCACCCCTTGTCCTGTCACTACAGGCCCTGCTAAAAATCTATCCCCATCTTTCTTATGGTCCCCCTTCAAGTACTGAAAGGCCACTAGAAGGTCTCTCCAGAGCCTTCTTTTCTCCAGGCTGAACAACCCCAGCTCTCTCAGCCTGTCCTCATAGTTAAGTTATGTTAAATGTGATTTTAACAACAACAACAAAAAAGTAACAAAACAAATGCAGATGTTGCATTTTTTAAAAGGGGAAAGTGTCATGTGTGGTAAATGTTGGTCTTTTCCAGTGAGCTACAAGAGGAGCTTTCTGCTCCCATCATTGCAAATAGACCGATGTCAGTCCATTGAGTTGCCGTAACGTACGGCCCTTGAGGACAGTAGGAAAGATTTTAAGAGCTTGTGTGTAGGAGGAGTGGAAATTGCCTGGGCAAAGAGCAGGACAGACAGCTACACAAAAGGGTGAATATTTATGATAGAAATTGAGAGTTAGGGAGTTGAAAGTCATGGGTGACTTGGAATGGCATGTTGTGTGAGTACTTGCTACTTGGCTGAACTACTGAAGTGTGAATGGGTGAACTTTATGCAGAGACTATTGAACAAAGGCCGTAACGATGCGATTCCTTTACTACGGGAGTTGAGAGATGTTGAGAACAACTGCAATGTTGAGAAAAAACAACAAAAAAGAGAAAACTGTACATCTCTTCACAGTTAACCTAACCCTCGTTTATATTGCTACTATCTGAAACATTTTAAGTTAAAACCTCCAAAATTGACCTTCCCAAATGCCACCTTAGGGTTGAGGACAGGCTGCCAGTATCTCAGTTGAACACCATGGCACAGTGGGACACTTGCCAGGTAGTGTCAAAGGGCCACAGCTGGCTTGTGTGCCCCCATGCTGATAGCACCCAGGAAAGCTGTCCCTCCCCAGGGACCAGGGAGGTGGCACTCAGCAGCCTGAGCTCTCTGTTAGGCTCATCTCTAGTGACTGAGGACCACTGGGGTCTAGCAGGAAGCGTAAGCACAGTTGATAGCAAACACAAAGCAACCATAAGTACATGTATTTTTTCCTAAAGCTTGATCAAATTCTATATATTTTCTGGTCCTCATGGGGGACTTCAACCACCCCGATATCTGTTGGAGAGACAACACAGCAAGGCACAAACAATCCAGCTGGTTCCTGGAATGTGTGGAACACAACTTACTTCTCCAAGTGGTAGATGAACCGACAAGGAGAGGTGCCATGCTGGACCTTGTTCTCACCAACAAGGAAGGGTTGGTGGGGAACGTGAAGCTCTTGGGCAGTCTTGGCTGCAGTGACCATGAAATGCTGGAATTCGAGATCCTCAGGGCAGTGAAGAAGGTGCATTGTAAGCTCACCACCCTGGATTTCTATGATATGTTTTGCCTCTTGGCTCAGTGACAAGAGTGGACTCAGCTGTCCAGACAGAAATAAAACCTACACATACTCTAAAGAGATGTTTAAATACTTACCTGACATCTCTCAAAACTTCTTTCTCGACTGTTTTTTGACAACAGAAGAACCCGGTCTTCACCTTCACGTCGTAGCAGATGTTGTGGAAAGTTAGTACGCTGCCTCCCCTGCTGCCTAAATCTGGAGAGGACTGCTTTCTGCTGGGGAGGCCATTTGTATTCAGGTCCGACATCTGAATGCGTAGGTGTGGTTGGCCTTCTGCCATTTTTCCTCTGTAAATGAAAAATAAGAGAGGAGGAGGAGGATTTGCTTAGGTGTGGAGAAGAAAGATGTGTCTGTTGGATCCAGGGTTCAGCACTGGACCTACTGTGAGCCTTGCAGATCTCCACATTGGTCTCTCTTTTTCAGGTAGGAAGTTTAGGGCCTGTGGGCTCAGACCTTGAGATGATACAATGCTGATGGGGAGCTGGGTCTGCTGGTCTGGTGTTAAGGAGATAGAAGAGTCTCCGTCCACCCTGATGGTCTGTTGTGGTGGGTTGACCTTGGCTGGCCACCAGATGCCCACCTAGCTGCCCTCTCAGGTGAATCTCAGCTCTGGTGCCTGGAACACCTCATCCTGCTCCTTCCTCACTGGCCTCAGTGTCTGCAGGGCTGTTTCTCCTACATTTTCTCCCTCCTCTCTTACAGGTGTTGCACATCATAGAATCATAGAATCACAGACCAGTTTGGGTTGGAAGGGACCTTAAAGCTCATCCAGTTCCAACCCCCCTGCCAGCAGCAGGGACACCTTCCACTAGACCAGGTTGCTCAAAGCCTCATCCAACCTGGCCTTCAACACTTCCAGGGAGGGAACAGCCACAACTTTTTTACAAAAAGGTAAAAAGCATCTTTTAACCTTTCTCAAACAGCTGGAGGTGGCTGTGTCTGGCACAGAGGACCCGGTACAAGGAAGTAGGTTCCTCTCTCCCAGCAGGCACTCACATGACGTTATGCTTTCTCTGGAGAGCTGCCCCTGGCAGAGAGGTCTGCACAGAAACAGAATGGTTGTTGGAAACCACAGGTACAAGAGGTGACTCACTGAAAGTTCAGCTCAAAATTAGCGAGGTCTGAAAGGACCTGACCTTCTGCCTGGCTGCTTTGTCAGACTGCTTTCCAGTTTTCAATGTAATTTGAGTTTGTTAGATACTCTTTTAAAAGGGTGGCTTGAACGTGGTTTGATATTCCTCCTACCTCTAGTGCTCCTGTGCAATGATAATGAAATCTAAAAATAGTCAGTTTGGGGTTTTTTTAGTGAAAAAAATTTTGCCAAAGGTATAGGAACATGGAAACTGACACTGCTGCCAAGGAATTCTCTTTCCTTGGGTTTACTTTCCATGAAAAAACTAGAAGGTAGTTGTGGAATAATTCAAGTTCTCTCACCAGCGTGGAGGTATCCCCAGCTGTCCTTGTGCATGCAGACCTTTGTCCCCTTCCTAAGTGGCACAGGGTTGTTGAGGTGGGAGGCAAGATCTGGCCTCTCTTTATATATCATGTTGAGTCATTGGAGTCTAGTCCTTCAGTTGTCACTAAGGGAGATCACAGCATGGTTTGGGTTGGAAGGGACCTTTCAAGCTCATCCAGTCCAACCCCCCTGCAGTGAGCAGGGACACCTTCAACCAGATCAGGTTGCTCAGAGTCCTGTCCAACCTGACCTTGAATGTTTCCAGGGATGGGGCTTCTACCACCGCTCTGGGCAACCTGGGCCAGTGTTTTACCACCATCATCATCAAATATTTGTTCCTTATGTCCAACCCAAATCCACCCTCTTTTAGTTTAAAGCCATCACCCCTTGTCCTGTCACTACAGACCCTGCTAAAAAGTCTGTCCCCAGCTTTCTTATAGAGGCCCTTCAAGTACTGAAAGGCTGAGATGTTGGTAATTCAGTAGTTCATGGGAACCAAGAGGGGAGGTGAGCAGGCAGGAGCTCTGAGGTGATCAATCATCCTCATTGCAACGAGGAAGAAGGCAAATTATGAGACCATTTCAGAGACACTGAATGAATTTGAGAGCAGTTAATAAAATGAGCCTCACCACAAAAAAAAATAGCACCATTTAATCTAATTCACTCATATGGTCACATAAAAAACCGAGCCCTTATCTTCTCAGCTTGCTGAGGTGGTTTGACAGACAGCCGGGCTCTCCTGTGTGGCTATCAGTGCAGTGGAACCACGAGCAGCCCAACTTTCAGCAAGGGGCCTATCTGCATGTAAAGGCTGATTCTTCTGTCTCCCAACGATGCTCTCCCAAATCTCTAGCCCAAGGTCACCTCTTCTGACAAAACTGCAGTCTTCTGTGTTGGCAAAAATATAAGGTCTTAATGTTTGAGTGATCAGTAATCTTGGACCAGTTTTCTTACAATGAAAAGAAAGAGCGTTCCAAATATAATTATAACAGGACTGGCTTTATTTTAAGCTAAAATGGATTTTGAGTAAGTTGAAGATCAATTAACTGTGTGTAGAGCACATGTCTGATGAGGAGCAGCTGAGGGAACTGGGGTTGTTGAGCCTGGAGAAAAGGAGGCTGAGGGGAGACCTTCTGGCTCTGTCCAAGTCCCTTGGAGGAGGGTGGAGAGAGGTGGGGGTGGGTCTGTTCAACCAAGGAACAAGTGACAGGACAAGAGGAAATGGCCTCAAGTTGCACCAAGGGCAGTTGAGATTGGATGTGAGGAAGAATTTCTTTGCTGAAAGGGTTCTCAGGCATTGGAAGGGGTTGCCCAGGGCAGTGGTGGAGTCCCCATCCTTGGAGGGATTGAAGAGTCGTGTAGACACAGTGCTGAGGGACACGGGTTAGTGAAGGACTTGTCAGTGTGAGGTTAATGAGGGGACTCCATGATCTTAAAGGCCTTATCCAGTCTGGGCAATTCTGGGATTCTGTAAATGTGCAACATTTAGAGTCTGGAGGCTTTTTATTGATAAACTGACTTTACTCGTGCCAGAGAAGACTTATCTACCTGCAGGAGATAATTTTGAAAGGCTATTTTTTTACAGTAGTTTCTGGACTAATCTGGCTGGACATCAACCATGGCCATTTGCAAGGATGATCTGGTAAAGTAGAGATGTGCATTCAGAACTGCAGTTGAGCCTGGAGAAAAGGAGGCTGAGGGGAGACCTTCTGGCTCTGTCCAAGTCCCTGCAAGGAGGGTGGAGAGAGGTGGGGGAACTTTCCACAGTGAGTCCCACTAGACACTAAGCAGATGTTTGCTAGCACACCAAGTGAGGTACCAAGCACTCAACCACAGAGCCAACACCAGAAAGAGACATGACAAACATCTCTTGAACTGTTGGGTGAACAGCAGCATGATGTGAGTGCAGAATTCTTCAGAAGACAGTGTGACCATGACCTTTGATCTATCACTGCATCTATAAGGTGTCTAGATCAGTATTTGATCACATTTTTTTTCTCAGCTTAATGTTTCAGTATTACTGATGTAAAGTTATGAGCAAACAGGGGAGAGTGAGGTGGAGTCTGACCTCAGGCAACAGTTACGTTCTTCTTCGTTTCATTTGGGTTTTTTTTTTTCCAAAGACCAACATAAAACCTGAACTCAGCACTGGCACTGAAATTGCAGAAATTTAGAAATTTTAGAATTTCTTTAGAAATTCTAAGAAATTCTAAAATTCTAAGAAATTCTAAAATCTTTAGAAAAAAAATATTTCACTTGCCCAGGGAGGTGGTAGATGCCCTGTCCCTGGACACATTCAAGGGTTGGATGAGGCTCTGAGCAACCTGGTCTAGTGGAAGGTGTCCCTGCTGATGGCAGGGGGGTTGGAACTAGATGATCTTTAAGGTCCCTTCCAATCCAAACCATTCTGTGATTCTATGATTTAGGAATGAAACAGATTCAATCTTTCAGGCTGAACTTGATTGGCAGCCAATAAGCATGGAATCAAAGTTCTATAGAAACAAAGTTTAATTCATCAATCGAGTTATGCTTAGATTGTCCACATCTTTGCAAAGAAGATTGCAGAAGCTAGAGGAATAAATCAGGTACAAGAAGAATTAGACAGACCCATAGCAGACAGCCCCTCAGTGGCTATTTACTACAGCAGCTCTGGGTAAAGACTGGATTCAGGTCTGGCTGGATCTCTGGAGGAAATCGGTGTGGCCCTTGGTGGCTGCATTGCACTTGTGTGGCTTGCAGTGACGGGGTGGGACGCGGTAGGTGGAAGGCACGGATTTGTCTATGTGCTGTTCCTTCTGATGGCTGCCCCTTCCAGGAAAGGTGTATTTCATGGAATCATAGAATGCTTTGGGTTGGAAGGGACCTTAAAGATCATCCAGTTCCAACCCCGCTGCCAGCAGCAGGGACACCTTCCACTAGACCAGGTTGCTCAAAGCCTCATCCAACCTGGCCTTGAACACTTCCAGGGAGGGGACATCGCTTTGTGGGCATATGGCATTTATCAAAGTAAAAAAAATTCTATTTCAGATGTTAGGATAATACTGAAAACAGGCAGTTTTACACTTTCAAAGCTACTAGAATTTCTTGGAGAAAGAAATTTCAGAATACTCATTCACTTAAAACATGAATGGTTATTTATCATTTGCTCCATGAAACCTGGGTTAACTGTCTCTCTTCCCAAAGGACCTCGTCACAGCAGCTCCTTGAGATGGCAAAGTTCTGGACACGCTGCTGGGGCCTTGGGAAGTGCCATAACCCAGCTTCTCCATCCGAGTGGGACTGTCACCAGGACAAGATTGGGGCAGCTGTGGCTTTGCCTGGGTGACTTGTGGAAACCTCTGACTTGTGGAAACCTCTGAGAGCGAAGATTTGGATGTCAGCTAACAGTGCACTAAGAGAAGGTGAAGTGCTAACAGCAGAAATAACAGCTGTGTGCTGGAGTTTAGGCTTTTGATTTCCTTTTTTTATTAAAAAAAAATATATATTGTGTTTAATGTGACGTAGAGCCATGAAACATTTGAAGTCTGAGCACGTGCAGGACAAAGAAACAACCCAGATGAATTTTAATTAAATCAATTTATCTGCAAACTAAAATTCTTCAAATGAAGTTTCTTAGAATTGGTTGCCAATGGCTCACAAAGATCAGATCAGAAATGAGCAGGAGATTCACTGACAATGTGTATTGAGAAATATTCATTTAGATGATAAAGTGTTTCATATCCTCATCATATCAACTCTGGGTATAATCACTAATTTTTGTGTCAGCTAAATAAAAAATTCATTAACCCTCTGGGAATTTTACTAATTCCATTTGTTTTCATGAA